TGATTTACACTGCAGTCATCATTCTCTGCACCTTCAGCCTCAGAGCCATTACAAGATTTGTCTTCATAGAATCACAGAATGATTTGTGTTGACCTTAAAGATCATCTGGTTCCAAACCCCTTGCTATGAGTCTTCCTTCACAGAAGTTATCAAGATCAGTTTGAAGCCAGTTACTATTGCCTCGCCTTAGCTACATGCATTCTAATGCAAAGTATAGATACTGCTGAAGATATAGAGGCTGAAGTGTGTCTCCTGCTTTAGCTTGTTTTCAGGCTGGAAATGTGACAAAGGCTAAAAGTATTAATGCGTGATAGTAGAAGAAAAGGAGGAATTCTGTCAGAGACCGTGTAGGGTAAACCAGACTTAAGGCTACATGCGATTCAGGCTAGTAGAGACACGCTATAATTGTAAGGAGGGCAGTCTTGGCAAGATGATTACAGCCTTCAGAAAGTAGATCAATTTGGAATGTTAGAAAGTTGGTTTTGATTACAAAAATAACAGCTGAACTGGCAAAGATAGTATCTGTAAAATTAATTTTAAGAGTTTAGTTTTCTAGCATAATACAGTATAATTGTCCAAAACTGAATTCTTTTTCCCTCACTTCGCTGTTTCATTGCGTTTTTTTTGATATGTTGGACTGTATAAAACAGTAGTAACCAAAAAACTGCAAAGGCAGATTCCCAAAGTATTGTGAAATAGCTTAACAGTTCTCCTCATTCCCATGAAACACTATCCCACTGCATTTCAATGATAGCATCTACTTCACCAATTTCTATAAACACTGTGAATGAAACCTCTATTAACTACAAAAGGTCAAATTGAAATTTGAAAAGGTACTGCTTTTTTCAGAATCTAGTGACTGCTGCATAATGAATGCTGACTACAAGAATAAAAGATCATGCAAAAGCATCCTGACCCCTTTGAAACAATAATTCCAATTCCAGTGCACAGACAACTCATTTAATGGCATTTGTATAGCAAAACAAATAGAATTTTGTCTGTATTATCAACTAACAATTCAGTGAGAGAACAGAGGAAATAAATTCCTTGCTTGAGACAGAGACTCTGCAGACTATGTTAAAACCCATCAGTTCATGTAACAAGCAAATTTTGTGCCAAAGCAATTTCTTCTCCCAACAGATCAGGAAGTAAAGCTCTAGACCTCACCACTGCTTTGAACTTGTTCCAGTGAATGGCTAGTGTTAAACTGTTCAACAAGCTCACAGGTGTCTCTAAGCTGTGGACTTTATCTTTCCATTATTACTGCTGTAAATGCCTCCCTGCTGCTCTCAGGAAGGGTCAAGGTGCTGGAAGACAGCTTCAGTAGAGCTCCATAGAGCCTCAGACAGAGAGTGGGGAGGGATGGGCTGGCACGTGATTCGCATAAGTGGAGCTGGAAGCAGTGCGACCATGCAACTTGGTGGGTGGCTTGGAGAAACCCAACTTGTCCCCAGAAGGGCCACTCCATCACCAGCTGAAGTTATGCTGTTGTGGAAGAGGTGGAGTTGTGATGTCCCTGGTGGCACCTGGCTTTCCAAAACCCTTGAGGAGATAGAGTGTAGACTCATGTGTCCATCATATGGTGTCCACGGGAAAAGTATCATCATTTAGTTGTGCTTAGGGCCTTCCCTCTTTCTTGGCTTTCAGATGCGTGGCTGATAGAGTTGTCCTTCACAAGGTATCCCCAGGGTCTCATTTTTTGGAGAGAGCTATAGTGACACTCAAGCTGGCTCTGCAGAAAGCGAACGGATGTGCCAGGAAACACCATCTGATGCAGTACTGTCCCCAGCCATCAAGGCACATCTCAGCACATGGAGACCATCACCAGAAAGTACGGTTCAATTTCCTTGGCTAGGAATATATCCATACTTTATGCCTTCTCTCCACACTCCTCCTCAGCACTGAGAGTGCAGATTCAGTACACACATGAACGCACAGAAAGAAAATACATCTTCTTTCTTAAGAACAAGGACAGCAAAGCAATCATCCCTTCACACTAATGTTTAGCAAAGTACATTTGTTAAGAAATGCAGACCCACTTCCCACCACATTTCATAGTGAACAGCTGAGTTCTCTACTCTAACCCAGAGGCATGAACTGGCTCATTTCAGGCAAATCAAATGACATTTCTGTGTCCTGTAAGTTCTTCTCCTTCCCACACATTAACACTGCCTCTGGGAGTTCAGGGAGTCAGGGGGGTCATGACGTCCTGTTGGTCTCACCACTTGAGATGAACTGATTTCCATGATGGAGTGAGCCCAAAAGTTATGTACTGCTGAGGACCAGTCATCTCAGTCCTATTTTAAGAATGTCAGTGGAAGACCAAACAGTGCACAGATGTGGGCCTGATACTCTACACAAGAGTGAATTTCATCTAATTTCACTATTTGGAAGCTTTCGCAAAAGGAGTAGAAGAGAACAGAGAGGGAGAGTGCTTTCAGAAGGAAAGATGTGAGCCTCCAAAGTGCTCACATGCAGTATCCCACAAACCCCGTGTTCCCAACACGAGGTGGTCCGCCCTGAGCACGTTATCCCCAAAGCACAAGGTCACTTGATAGGAAGGGAGGGAGCTCTCAGCCAAGAGCCACCCTGCACAAAGTGGTCCCCTTGCCCCATGGTGCAGACACCAGGAGAGGGAAATACTAGAGGTTCAGGGACAGTGAGGACAGGGATATTGGGGATGGGGAAGACCAGTCAATCACAGTCACTTGCAGCTTATTGTCAGAAGGAATGATCAACCCATGCACACATGTGCTCATCAGGTCAGTCAATGCACTTATGGGATGTACTCACACAGGGTGACAAGAAAGGGGAAGTATGAGGGAGGAAACCTAGTGCAACAGGAATCTCAGTTTACTTTAAGGCTGTTTCAGTCCTTGGGGCAGCCCAGGCTCTAGAGTGACAGAACACCTGCTCTTAGACTCACAGAATCGTTAGGTTGGAAAAAAACCTGTATGATCATTGAGTCCAACCAATAACCTAATGGTGCCAATTCGTGATCCCCATCATCCACCCCACATTGCTTGCACAAACAGCAGAACAAGATCCGGTCACAAACATCTGTTGCTTGCATCTCATTCTCTTCACAGCTTTCTAAGAGGGCAACTATGCTGTAGACTGAATACCAGTTAACAGCATCTTCTAAAAAAAAAAAATCTACAAAAAACAGTTTGAAAAAGTTGATATTCTTCATGAAGAAGAATGTTCAACAGGGACACTGTTAGATTGTCCTGTATGTCCTATATGATGTATATATGTCAATAGCCTGGATGCTGCTAACACAGAATTATTGCACTATGCAAATGACCAAGGTATGTGCTGTTATTTTAGATATCCCTTGTAATTTAGTTTACAATGTAGTTCACGACAGTATTTCATTCTCCTGCACTTAAAAATACATTTAGTTGCATAAATATATATTTGAACAGGCAGTTTGCAACAGCCAGATATCAGAGACTTCAGTTCCAACTACCTGCATGAATACATGCGCACTGTGGAAACCCACAATATCATGCATGAGTGACTAACACAATACAGCTGAAGCTGTCCAAGTGCCCACAGCTCTGCCCAGCTAAATGTGCTATCACGTGAACAGATCCAAGTGCATGTACTATGCAAACTGCATCCAGATCCATCCAGTGACATCCACGTATTATCCCCGTGTCTGACTCGGTTTGGTGTCATGAGAAGGCCACGTGGGAAAGCCAGCTCTTACATTGGTGCAGACTGTGTGCAGGCCTGTGCTTTGGCACGCTGCCTCTTTTTTAAGTTCAAGGCCAAATTTTGTTCTTGGTAGCACTGAACCAATTTCCCAAAAGCTGGTAAATGGTTCTGGAGGCAACCAATTCATCTGCAAATGATTCAGAAGGGTCTCAATCTGCCTTACCTTTTTGATGGGTTAAAAGGCTGGAGTAGCTGAACCAGGCTAATGACTCTGCCATACTGTCTCTTCTCTGCTAAGCAGAAATGCAGCAGAAGAAGTTGAAATGTGAGAAAAAGTAAGTTGAAACTCGCTGAAGAGGTGTAACACCAGATCAAAGAAAAGTGAGTGGCAAGTCAAAAGGAAGGGAAAAACAAAGGAGAAAAGTGGAGCCATTTTGGAGCCAGCTACCCTCATCTTGCAGACATCACAGCCCTACTATGGAGCAAAAATTCAGCTTTCACATCAGAGCACAGTATAGTCAGGAGCACAGGCAGACACCTGCAGTGCTGCACTGTAAGCCACCTTACCTAACCACCAGCTTATGGACTGTGATAGATGGGAACAGTATGGTGTTTTGCCAGCCACCCTTTTGACTTCATGGGAAAAGGTTTTCCATGTCAAGAGCCATGGTAGAAGACCCTGATCCTTTGCTGTAGGTAGAGAGGAAAGCTTGCAAGATTTGTCAGCACTAGTCCTTGGCCACACTGCCATGTCCCTCCCGTGCAGTGAAGGGGCATACCACCACGGTGAGCTTGCAGCTTGCTGGTGGAGCAGGTCTGACACCCTCAGCTGGAGTACTCGGAGAGAGCTACTGAGTTCTCACCTGTGAGCTGTGCTGCAGAAACTGGGATATCTACTCTCCTGACAGCATGAGGCAAAACCATGAGAGTGATCTGAATCAGAAGTCTCCCCCTCAGTGGGTTAACAACCATCCCAGGGCCTTAATACAAATGGTAATTCACTGAGTTGTGGTCACTCAATTCCTTCCAACTGTCCACAAATTAAGACCTTTGAAGCTAATGAATTTATTTTTGGACTATGATACTACTTGGGTATCATATTTTGGCCATATGTGTTTAACTACTTCAACAAGTATTTGGGGCTGCCCCATCAGGCAGATTTGCCAGGCAATCTGTCATCAGCACCAGCTGGATGTTACTGGAAGCTGGAGTTACTAGAGATGTCACAAAGCAGAACAAAACAATCCCTATAAAATGGGGGCTGTCACAGTAAGCTCACATTCTCCGCAGCTTATCACCCAACCAAACAAGAAAAAGTTGCTTATGTGCCTTGCTAAGCTATCACAGAAATGCCTCACCTACGGTGTGGGCAGTACGTTAGCGTGTACCATCCTAAAACTGTGGTAAACAACAACTCAAGACAGTATGTGGAGTCACAAAGTCATGGGAAATGCTTTTGACCTCCCAGCTCAAAACCCAGGAGTGCTTGTCTTCCCTTCTTCTGGGTCACTGTGAGCATTTTTGGCTCCTACCAATGGAGCCAACGTCTATGTTGGGGCTGAATTACAGCAATAATGTGAAGCAGCACTTCACAGACCTGCTTGCAGCATGGCACACCTGCAGTGAGTGATACACCTCTTCAGAGACAAGACGAATTGAGGAATTACCACACTAACTACCCCTCACACAATAGCCCACTCTGAAGCAACACACCTATGGCATACCTGCAGAAGATGTGAACCATGGACAGGCTCTGAACCTGGTAATAGCGTGAGAAACTATCTGGTTATAAGGTCTAGTTTCCAGTCTTGTGGGGCTTGCAAAGAGATACAAGACAGCCATGCCTTGCCATGGCTACTTTTCCCTACAAGCTCAAGGCAGCTTTTCCCAGCAAAGAGGGACGGCTGGGCAGGGTGGAGAGGTGGAAAGCAGACATCTGCTGCTTGACAAAGGCCAGCTGATGTCCAGCATCATGTTGCACACAGGAAAGGCAAGGTAGGAAAGTAGGTCGGGTCGTGCAATAGCTGCCACTGCGAAGTACCAACAGGGGGGGAACAGAGACCAGATATTTTTCTAGAGGCTGGCTCCATGGTTGAGATGGAGCTGCTTCACCTGGCACCTCTGGGGAGCTCCTTGGCATGGGATCCTCTGCACTCCAGCACATACCAAGAGCAGCTGTGTGAGTCCTCCATGGGAAACAGCAAAGAAAGCCCACAAAGATCAGCACCAGCCTTGCAAAACTATTTTTAACTGTACTGCATTAAAACTATATCTGCCATGAAAAGGCAGTGCCTTATAAACAGCAATGAGATGGATGGCCTCACCTGGAAGCTGAGCAGCCGTCTTGCTGAGTGCATCTGAAGTCTTTTTGTGCTTCCTTCTCCTTCACCTACATGTCAGATTTGCCATGGCCCTGAAAACCAAGGACACATCTTCCACTCACTTCAGCAGTGTCATGATTTGGTCTCAAGCCCAAAACAAAGTCACAAAAGCATCACTCTGCACTATGAATGACTGCCTGTGCCCACCTACCCACTGCCTAGCCCTGAGATACAGTGGCCAGTAACTCAGAGGCTGTAGATTTGGTGTTTACACTACTGTGTCACACAAGGTACTGGGACAGCCAGCACACAGGAAACCCAGACTTTGTACTAGCTTTACTATGTGTGGAACACATAGATCTCAGCCAGGCTTTGTCATATGAAGGAAGCTGCAGGGAAGACAGATGTTTATTATAGTGGAAATCTCTGCTCTTAAGACCTTCCAGTGACAGATCTGCTACCTACCCCATCCCAAAAAACAGACCTTCAGTAAGGCTTAAATGAGGTGCCGGTCACCTCCCTTGCACACAGGAATATTTCATCCTAACAACACAGAAAACAGGTCTTAAATGGTACCAGGAGAGTTATTTTTCATTGTCTGCTACCTTTGTTTCACCTTTTCTTTGGAAATAGTGATGATTCAAGTCACTGCACAGTTGAAGATCTAAAGAATATGAAAGACAAGCAGGAATGTAAAGGAATAAAGACAAACAAGCATAAAGAAACACAGCAGGTAAAGAAATAAAAAAAAAACCTTGGTAACCTTTAGATCTAACACCTATGGAAAGCTGAGTCTTTCACTGACTTCAGTGGTCATTAGATCACTCCAGCTGATTTGTCTAAAGCCTCGTCAGGGCTCTAGGATATCCTAGTGGAATATAAACTAAGCTGAATTACTTGAGAAGTACCATACATAATCTTAAAGGTCAAAAATTACAATTGTTCACTGAAATACTGAATTTTTAGCATTTTCTCCATACTTGGAGAATACAAATACATTGCAAAGTCAAATGCTGGAACAGTAGCACTCACTATTTCAAACCTTTAGGGACCAAATTCTGCCTTCAGATTCACATGCGCATTTTCCACGGTCTACAATGGAAAGAGATTATGTGTAGCTGACTTAAAATTGTTTTCCAGCACATAAACTATCCAGATTTTTCATTTTCAGTGGTAAATATGAAATTATCATTACACTTTCTATGCTATTTTTGTAGGCTTCAGATGCTGGCTTAAGAAGTATTTAATGCTTTTTTTTCTGTATAGTTTGGTATAAGATTGTGGATTTTTCTGCACTGTTGCATTCCCTAGAATATAAAAGAGTGCTGCTATAAGTCATTAAATTTTACATTATGTATACACACAGTGACAAAGTACTAACAACCCATGCTCAAACAGTTAAAATTATGTGTATGACAATGGTTTTGCCATTATACTCCTGCATATCATTGAAAACAATACTTTCTAGTCTAAAGACCAGCAACGTTTTGATCACAGAAAATCATCAACAAAAACAAAAGTTAAAAATAGCCTTTAGCTGACTTCAGGCTTTTTTTCCCATCTAGCATAAATAAGCCTCAGGAAAGAAAACAAAAACCAGACAAAAATGTAAATGGTTTCATGGACTTACATGGATGTATCTCTTATTTCTTGGTCTTGCTGATCAAGAATAAGCCAGCAGGTAAGAAGCAGCAGCCAGTGGTAAGTTTGTCTCCTCCACTCTGGGAGGTCATGTTAAAATAAGAAGTTCAAAAAATGCTTTAAAATAGAATTGCTATGTAAGCCTCTCTGGGGTTTTACAGTCACTGATGTGTGCATGTTAAAAATGGCATTTTCAGTCTATCTTATGTTGCCTGAGAACCATTTTGTCCTTTTAAAATCTGTATTTATATTATAACCCATAAGTACCTTTCATTTTTGTATTAACACTATAAATACTATGTTAGTAATACTAAACTATTTCTATTGGCTTATTTGTAAAAAGAAAAATATATTATATTTATATATTTTTATAAAGTGAATTAACACTGGAGAGAGGGCTATGAGGGAATAGTGTACAATCACAGTTGATGTGTATTATTGGGCACAAACGCAATGCTTGAAACAAAAAAGAAAAGAAAGAAGTGTTAGGGTGATGTCCCTCTTTCAAGCTGTGTCAGAGGAGGAGTCATAGGATGCTGACACTATGAAGTTGCCAGTATTGGAGTGGCTTGCCATGGACTGGGCAGCCTGCTGGCTCAGGTTATTGCAGATCAGCACCAGCTGGTTGCTCTGTGCTTCTGAGAGGGTGCTACAGCTCTGGTAGACGCTGAAGTTGGTCTTCCGGCCAGGGATGTTGCCTTTCTCACACATTGTCTTTACCATCTTGGCAAGCTTGTTTTTCCCCAGGGCTTGGCAGTTGTACCAGTGAAGCGCAGCCAAGTTGACGACGGGTTTGATGGACAGGTAAAATGGCGCGTCCTCATAGCGCATGGCTGGAGGCCGCCTCTGGGCGTACTCCTTGTAGTCTTGCACAGGGCAGGTCTGTGGGGAGTGCTGGGTGGCGTACACCCGGGAGTCCGTCCCACTCCTCTTGCTCTTGGCATTGACATCTCCATTGTCTGGCCCCATCCACTCCAGGTATTCCAACCCAGTCTCTGTCACCCGCAGCCGGATGTCTCCCCACTTCAGGGTAGACCCATGGAAACCTGTGCAGTGTCCAAACGCCTTAGTGTTGTTTAGCCAGACAAGGTTCAGCAGCCCTTCTGGATTGTATCGGCTCAATAAGCCTCTTTTGCGCAGGATAAGCTCATCAGCAAAGGTGAGCTTCATGGATTTGTGTGGCTTGTTTCCTTTCCCCTTACATCTCAACTCTATCTGCTTTTGCTTTAGAGCTTCCTGGGACCTCTTGAACTCTTTATCCCTTGTAATACTGTATCCATACCTGTGCTCTTTGAGGTACCGCTCCAGTCCACACTGGTAGTTGGCCAGGCTGTTTGGCTCATATTCAGAACCATCCTTTTGTCTGGCGTCCACAAAGAAGGAAGCAAGGTAGGCATCAAGCTCTTTGCAGGGAATGACGTAGATCTCCCGTGTCTCAGAGGGGTACTTGGAGATAAGAAACTCTCGGAAATTGCGGAGAGCCGTCTGTGTGCTGCGAATAGTCTTCTCATTCTGCTCCCTGCTGAGCTCAGCCGCCCTCTCATCCTGGTCTGGAAGAGGGAAAAGGGGAAAGACAAAAGAAAGTAGAAGCAGTGAGTTTGTGCAATGTGATTTTCTCCAAAACAGACTTCCTTAAAAAAGAATGGAAAAAAAATAAATCAATTCCACAAAGAACACTGGAAAACATCATTACATACCTGTCACGTGACTCAAAAAGTCAGTTTCACAAATGTCCTAGAGCATGGCCTAAAACCAAAGTTTTGTGCATGGAGATTTGTGGAAAATAATGGGATTAGAGGCAATCTGATTTTAGAACAAATGCACGTTTTTTCTGTGGATCCCAATGCTGTGCACAAGGCCCAATCCAAATTATAAACACAATCTGAACTGCTTCATTTGTGAAACCAGAGGTTGTAGTGGTTATACTTTTTTCTACAAAAAATAATTAAAGCATCATATTTATGACAGTAAAAACTATCTTTAATCAGACACATTTTTGAAGATCTAAATAAATATAGACAAAAATGTACAGTAAAAAATAATGCAGCACATTCTAACAAAGGAGTTGGCAGGTAATACTACAGAGGAATGTGTAAGTTACAAATGTACAAATATAGTTAGTATGTTCACATCAGGAGATATGGAAGGAAAACATTGATTACACAGCTGACCCTCAATGGCAGAAGTACAATTGTGACCAAGTTTTTTCATTTTGCAGTAAAATCTGGAAACAGAAAATTTGTATGGCTCTATGAGGCTACACTCAAAGATCCTTACAATCAGTGACATATCAAAACACAATATATGGGTGCTACCACTACAATGGTTGTTACTGACAGCTGATTTTTGGGCTAATCATAAGCATAAAAAGGAAAAGCTTTTTACATGTAAGTGATGTGCGTGCTTAAAGACTGTTTTCTTGGCACATGCAAACTATCTGTACTAGGATGCAGCTTACAAGCACACAGGTGGAACTGTCATGAATGTGACAAACCTTAATGGTCTTAGCAAATGCAAAGAAGGAAAAATTAATTGTTTTGACTATTCTCTGTAATTGTGAATGGAACGTTCTTTCTTCTCTTTCCACTTAATATGCAGAAGAGGGAAAAAATGCAAGTTTTTTTTGGTTCTGTTTCATTGCAAACCCCACACATTTTGGTGTCCTGTCAGCACCGCCACAGGCACACTTGCCAGGTGTTTTATACCCAATATGCCCACTACAAAGAAGTATGAGACCAGATAAAGCTCCCACTGCCTCTCTGTCAGTCATGCCAAGCTCATGTCAGGCCACATAGCACACCCATGCTTTGCAGCAGTGCTAAGATGCTCATTGCTCGTGCTCACGCTGTCCTGCAAGCCTACAAACAGGGGATACAGCAGAAAAGGAAGGTGGCTCTGAAGGAAGGCCCTGCAGGCCCTTCTCTAACCCACCTGCAATGCTTCAGGAGGTGCAGAAACATCAGTGCTCAGCTGGGCAGTTTTCCCTTCTACTCATCTACAGAGCAATGAGTTCATCCCATCGCCTCCATACCACAGATTTGGACAGAAGCAGAGGGAGTAATTTGTCCTAGGATTTGCCAAAAATAGGCCAGTAATACCACCCAGGACCAGGTCCTGTGTCTTCACTGTGAGGCATCTACTGCATCCACAGCACTTAGTGAAACCTACTGAGGGGGGGTCCTCAAATCCTCTGCAAAGCACAGATAAGTGGGGGGCTGAGATGAGACCTTTGGAGGCTTCTGCAGCCATCAAAAATGCTGCCACAGAGCACTGAGGTTTGGTGAAACTGTGCTCACAGGGAAGAAGAAAAGGTTACCAGCCTGTTTCTGAAACTAGTTTTAATATTGATGACAGTATCAAAGAGCTCCTAGCAGCCTACAGTGATGTCTCATGCTTTAGGCAATATTTAGGATAGATCCTTTTATTATGGCTAGATGCAGGCTGGAAATAAAGAGACAATGCTGTTTGAAACTCCAAAATAAACATTTACTCTGGTACCTTGCTCACTGCACCCACTACCACTGATTACAACACTGCGTAAGTAATCAGTGCTTTGACTGACAGCCCACATTTTAAGCACTGTTTCAATATAAACAGCACATATAATGCCTCTGTTTTATACATGTCATCAATCACTACTACTTAGAGGACAGCCTGTCACAACACAGCAGTGACACCCAGTCATTCATTTATGTTACGGCATTTTCCTTAATCTGCAAAGGAAATTGCCATATCTGCAGCTAACAGTTATAAAACTCATGCTGAATTAAAGATCCCCTGAAGTTGCATGAGTGAAATAGTACCCCAGAAAGACTGCATTGCTGCAGCGCTGTGGTGTGTTACTCCTCAAGGCAGGCGGGAGATGTTAAAGAGAATGGGTCAGCTTCTCATCCAGCCACATCAGGAGAGCTATGTCAATTTTAACTGAATCCTGCCCACAGTGGTAATGGATTATTTTCTTTCCTTTGGGACTGCTCAAGTATCAGGGGTATCTCATAGCATGGGATGAATGCAGGGAGGCAGTGAGACCCAACAGGCAGAGTCTGAAACAGACAACAAAGTTACCAGACGTCAGCTAAGCCACTGTCATCATCTGAATATGCTCTTCACCCACAGCAAAAGCAGACAGTGCAGCTGAGTGTTAACTAAGACAGCTCTTTATAACCTAGGATAGCTGAGGGAGGAGACATAAATCTTCATGTCATTAAAGTCTTTTTTTTTTATCTAACTAAGGAAATTTCATAGTGCTGAAAGAAACCATATAATCCATCTCCAGCTGCCGTGAAGACACAAATTGAATCCAGGTACACTTTTAATACTGCCAAACTTTGTGTCTTCTGCTAATTTCATAATCTAATTCTCTATTACTATGGTGGTTGACACTGATCAGCACCTGAGCACATCCCACCCACTTGCCCACTCCCCACCCCAGAGGAATGGGGAAGAGAACAGGAAGAGCAAGACAGAAAACCTGCGAGTGAAGACAAAAACTGTTTAATAGCTGAAGTAAAGAAGAAGAAACACAACCAACAAGTAATGCAAAGGCAGTCACTCACCACCTCCCACAAGTAGACCAATGCCCAGACAGTCTCTAAGCAATGCCCACTACCCTCTACAAAACCCTCGCTTCAGTTTTTATGGCTGAGCATGATGTTGTAGGGCAGGGAATATCCCCGTGTTAGTCTGGGTCCGCTGCCCCCTCCCAGCCTCTTGCCTACCTTAGACTTGGCTGCCAGCCAGCCAGACTGGGAGAAAGAGGCCTTGTGACTGTTAAAGTCCAGCTCAACAACCAAAACACTGGTGTGCCATTAACGCTGTTTTAGTCACAAATCCAAAACACATCAGGGTATGGGGCAGCTAGGGAGCAAGTTAACTCCATTCCAGCCATACCCAGTACTATTAGACCATTTGAATCACTAATGGTACAGTGCCTAAGATCAGGCACACCTTGCATCTATTCTATACAACAGGACGAGGTGGCCACAAAAATTATTCTCTGGATGCAGCCTGAAAATGGTTCTTGTCAAATATGTATAAGAAACCCATCTACTGTACACATCTTTACTGTGCCTACAGGAAATAAGCAGAAACAGAATCAAAGCCCTTACCATAGTCTGGATATTTGGCATTGGTTGCTTCTGCTTTAGCCACATGGCTTTGCGACCTTTTCAGAGGAGATTAGGCTGGTGTAATGTCATTTTGTTCCTCACAGATCCACCCAGAATGACACATAAAGAAAGGCTACATGAAACATTCAATTATTAAAAATTCAAAACTAAGAGGCATCTCAAGTGCCATCACAGTGAATTTTTGAAAAAGTTTGTGTTATAGTAAGGATATGACAAGCTGGGAGAACTGTTAAGGTACAAGTTCATATCTGGAGCTAGGTATTGAAAGTGAATGTTCTTGTCCTGAGATAGGAGTGTGTCGTGGGTTGAGTAGCTGCTGTACTTGTTGCTGGAGATGGGGGAGCTGCTGTGCTTGGGGTTTTAGCAGCTGCATTGTCTGTTGCTTCGCCATCAGATCCAGAGACATCTTTCTCCTGCTCCTTACAGAGCAGGGCTCTGTAGGCATAGGCCAAGCCTCAGCACACTGCAGGAAGTTGTCCCTTTCTAGTATTGCCAGGACAACAGCACGCCTTGTTTAAGCGTTCTGCTAATCTTCCCGAATTTTGCATTTGTTCAGGAGTGAAGTTCCAAAGAACTAGGACTAGGAGCTTGCCCATGCGATCCCACACACCCTGCCACTTATGACTGTCCATCCTTGGGAAAAATCTCGTAGTGGTATTCTTAGATAGTTGTTTAATCTCAGACAAGACCTGAGCCAGACCCTGCTTAGCTTCCAAGATCTCACAAGATCAGGAGTTCTCAGGGTAGTGTGGCTGCAGGCAAACCACAGAAAGCATATGCAGCAACAAGCTGGTTCCCAGCAAAAGCAGCAGGGTGCTTTCAAGGGCATTGAATGGATATTGCAGATCTTCAACATTCCCAGAATCTACTTCTACTGCAAACAGCCTGGCTGGGGAGCAGAGGGTGTGAGGGAATGTCTCCTTCATAGGTTGACCCACCCGAGGGAAGAAAAAGAAAAAAAATGTGTAATTGTTAAAAATTCTCATTACATGCATATTTCCAATGTGACAGCTCCTAGATGCTTGCTTGGTCTCACTTTGCTGCATCTTGCTGAGTAGAGACCAAAAGCTCTTTTGGCCAGAGCTTACTTCTTTTTTTTTTTCGTTTTCTGTAGTCCTGCTGGAAACTACTTAAAATACAGATGAGGTTCCACGTTAGCTCCTCGACTACTGCTCACAGGATCATTGTCCAACTCTTCAGTGTGCATGGGTTCCAAAACTGGGGAAGAGCACAGAAAAAAAATCACAAAGCACTTCTCAATAGAAGAGAACACCTCTGTATCAGGAAGGCCCTGAGACAGGAGAGTGGAGATGTGTCATATATGCTTGCACCTTTCCTACAGTCTTCTGTAGGTGTCTGCTGTTAGGCTGTAGGAAGACAGATAACTCTCATTTAATGGTCTAATTTGTCTTGGCTAGTAA